GGCGGGTGGAGTGGGGGAGCGAGGTAAAAATGAGTTGGCATGGAAAACATTAGCTTGCTTAAATTGTTTTTTTTTAAATGTAATTTTTCGGTGGACATGCATGTTCTTGAGTTCTAATATTGATATGTCCATTGTGGTTGGAGCATTTGGTTTTAGTTGGGCTTTTGTACCAAGCCTACCTGAAACATACACTATTGGGTGAAAATTGTGAGACCTGCCAAAGCCAATAAAAATGGCCAAATTTGGTTTGGACAAGTTTTTGCTTATTTTCAAACCATGTTGGAATCTTTTTTTTATATCGAGCATGATGACTATCACAGGATTGGGTTGCTGGTTTACATTGGTTATTACTGAAGAAGGAAGGTTTTAGAATGTTATATAGCAAAAAAGTGACATCTACTTCTCGCTGCTTGTCTGGATTCAATACTTGTCTTTGAATGAGTATTTCTGTAGTCATCAATGGAGGCATTGAGGGCGGTCTTTTACATAACTGACTGCCCGTCATTCTTTTAAATGGAGGCAACAGATCACGTCTATATGCATGTGCCCCATAACAGCTCTTTCATGCAAAAGACTGATGTCTGTGAAGAAATTCTCCCTACTTCAAATGGAAATACTTTCACTTTTCTAGTGTTGGAAAAAAAAGAAATAATATTGAACTTTTGAAGTCAAGCGCAACATGCTCAAAATTTAAAGGATAGTCTATTGATTCTAAAATTTGAATGCAAACCTAAATTGATGAAGGAGCACAACCCATTGGTAGAGAAGAAATACTATTGAACTTTTGAATGTATATATTGTGCTTAAGCATTTGATTTTTTTTTGTTTTCATATTATGTTGGGTCTTAAAACATTCAAAAATTTTTGATTGGAAGACATTTAAAAATATCCAAATGATAATGAGCGGACCACATCCTTTCTAGTGGAGAAATAGCATCCATGTCCATCACCCTTGAAATTTTGGCTGCAAATGGTTTGAAAGACTAGCAATACAACCATTTGCTAAGGTTTGTCAAATATTGATCGCAAGAAGTTTAAAGTTGATTGGTTAAAATAATGTACATGGAGGTTATGAAATGTTACCCAACAGGGATAGGTGATTCTTCTAATGCTTGAAATGGGGAGATCACTTTAGCATATGCATCAAATAGCCATGCAATATGTTCATTGAGAGAAAAGTCTAATGTAACATGCTTTTAATAAAAATCTTATAATGATATGACAAGGATCAACGAGCCCAACTGAATATTCATCAAGTGTAAATCTGACATTTATTTGTTGATAAAATTTAGGTAGGGATAGCCTATGGAGAACTAACCTGCAATAGAAAAATAAAGTTATCTAGTAAGCTGAAAGGTCTCATCATTGCAGAAGATGAGCACGAGTTTGCTGTGAAATATAGAAGCTTGCTTATGTAGAGTTGGGACTTATCTGGATTAAATTAAAAAAGGAAAGGGTGGATGAAGAGAGTGCGACCCAAAACTCAATAATCCACCACAACATTGACAACCATTTGCTAAGGTTTGTCAAATATTGATCCCAAGAAGTTTAAAGTTGATTGGCTAAAATAATGTACATGGAGGTTATGAAATGTTACCCAACAGGGATAGGTGATTCTTCTAATGCTTGAAATGGGGAGATCACTTTAGCATATGCATCAAATAGCCATGCAATATGTTCATTGAGAGAAAAGTCTAATGTAACATGCTTTTAATAAAAATCTTATAATGATATGACAAGGATCAACGAGCCCAACTGAATATTCATCAAGTGTAAATCTGACATTTATTTGTTGATAAAATTTAGGTAGGGATATCTGTTGACCTCATTTTTGAGGTCATTTACTTTCACTTAGAGTCTAGGTTCTAGCTCTAGGATTTCCTATTGACCATCTTAGAAAACTAGAATTGAGACTCACCCTTCTAGCCAATTCCTATTTTTCTTTGATGTCTAACATCTTTGGCACAAGACCATCGTCTTATGAACGAGCGGTTATGGGCTATTTTGCGAAGATTCAAGGGAAATGTTCCAAATAGGACTTCAAGCCTTAGGAAAACATCGTCACGACCTTTTTCGTCACATACACACATCAAA